TTTAAATCAGGTGGATGGTTACGAGGCCGGGAAACCCGATTGCCTCACAACCACGGTGTGGGATGGCCTCATCAGCTATTGGACGTTGCCGGACTCGGTCAGAACCTCCAACACAAACTCCGGGAACCGCATGACCAAGGACGAGCATGGCAACACGAAGGTGCTTCACACCACGGGTCGAAAACCTCACGGGGGAGTTTGTCTAGACATGGTAAGATGATTTTTAATATCAATTTAATTTTTATTTTATTTGAATATATTCCAAATTAATATTTAATTTTATAAATTAATTTTAGGCTAAGGAGACAGGAGTTCTTCCATCTCTGAAAGACCTTTACGAGAGGACCCACCGGAACAAGGCTGGGCAGTTTGTAGATCCTGCTTCCGAGCAGATCTACAACGAGCTTGTTGCCCGAGTTGACGAACGCCAGACCCAGCTGACTCAGCATACTGGGTCTCCAGTCATATTATCCACTGTAGACGTGGATAAGATTTACGAGGAGGTAAATAATTTGTTTTACTATTAATTTTTAATATTTTTTAAATTTTTCTTAATGTTATTAATATTTTTATTTTCAGGCCGCCCCTAGGAAAAAGGGGCGTATCATCGGGATTGGCTCGGTTAACGATGTCCCTGCAGCGACATCGTCTTATCATCAGGAGCAGCATGATGTCAATGATCAGCTGCGCTCGGAGTTGCAGGCGACGCAGTCTCATGTGACTTCGCTCACCGAGCATGTCACTTCTCTCACCGATATCCTCGACATTATGGCGGTTGGAAACCCGCAAGTGCAGGAGCTGTTGCGTCAGAGACGGGAACGTGCAGGGATTCCAAGTACCCAACATCCTCCGCCATCACAGTCACAGCCGGCGACCAACAATGGAGAGGATTTGCCGAGCCAGGACGACGACCGGTTCGTTCAGCAATTTCACGACCAGCATCCGTAGTTTCTTTTATTTTTATTTGTATATTATGAATTTAAAAACTTTTTGTATATTATTTAGTTATTTATAAAATATTTTGTTTTTTATTTTTTTATTTATAATTTGATTTTTTTATTTTTAAAAAATAAATTAATTATTTGTAATTATTTTTTTTAATAGGAAAAAAAACATTTCCAAGCAAAATCCTCGTAAATAATTCCAAATAATATCCTCGTAAACTGTTCTAGTAATTTCCTCGTAATGTATCACTACGACCTTACGAGGAAATACTTACTACGAGCTTACGAGGAAAACTTACGAGGATCTTACGAAGAAAATATTACCACGCCTTTACGAGGAAAGCTTTCCTCGTAAATTCGCTACGACCTTATGAGGAAAATGGCTTTACGATGAACGTGTTTCGAGGAAACGCGTTTCCTCGTAAGTTCCTAGTAAAATGTCATTTACTAGGAACTAACGAGGAAAACCCGTCCTAGTAATGGACGAGTTTTCTTGTAGTGAGAAGGTTTTGTGTTGATAACAGAACCACCGTAGGAGACTTATTTGTATTCAATGTGGTTGGAGATGGGAAAACTTCTCCATTGCTGTGTGTATGTTCGGAAAGGAAAGAGTATACTGACTTACTGACCAACTACTTGAGCAGCAAGAATGGTGCCTCAACTTCCTCGTCTCTTCCTAAATGATGCATGTTTGTCGTGCTATTGTCTTATTGTAATCTTCTTCTAGTGGACTTGTAATGGATGACTTCTATGTTGTTGTTCCCTTGTTTCAAAATGTTTTTAAACCTATGACTTGTAATGGATGATCAACTATTATAACTACAACTCCTTTGTCCTCTATGTCCTCTATATTGGGAACAAGTTTAGTGATAAAAATTAATTAATGTATCTTTTATATGTTTATTTTTAATTACTGTATCTTTTTTTAATAATGCAATTAATAAAATTTTAGTTTCAATTTTTTAAAATTTAATTTTTTTTTTTAAGGACTCCCATCTTCGGATACACCATTAAACAGCCAGATTAGCTTCGGATCCTTAACTATTCAAACAAAAAAAATATATATATTACTAAACAATGGCTAAGGATTCATTGGTGAACCTCACCATTGCATATGCTCTAAATGTTGAATATTTGTGCGACTAGTCAGTCCTTGTTCGGCATTGAGCTATATGGATTGCCATGTGGGGACGCTGGTTTAGAAGCCATCTCATTGAATAATCCATTTATAATTTATTCATGGCCTCTTTTTCCTTTTGATTTTCTTTCCTCTTGCACGACTTTGAATAGAACTGCGAGATATTTGTTGGGTTAACGAATTTGAACATAAAGAAACGCGTTTGGTGGTTCTCGGACTATTGGCAGGAAACATGGCTTGTCTGTTGGCGTAGACCCCTGTCCCTAAATCCGTGCTTTGCACCCGTTGGATTTTGGGGAATGCGGGTCTTACAAGCTTGATGATACAATGTTACCAGATGTCACGAAAGCAAATGAATTTGATACTGAAGAGCCTTGAAACGAAATATTATGAGCTTAATGCTGAAACCGCTGGTAGAATCTCTTTACAAACTATTTCCATGTGTGATTTGTTCGTCGCTCTCAATTCTACAAGGCTTCCTGAATGTAGTTCTATTGCAGAAGATGAAAAGGGTATTTTGTCGTAGTTATGGCACGGGAGAAACGAGCTTTTTGCTGGTTTAGAAGCAGCATCAGCTGATGACACATACAGAACCGTTGATAATCTGTGGAATAGTTACCAGAAGAACGAGAAGGTAAGAAAACCTGATCAACTTATGTTTCAAATTCTACTAGTGGAATATGTTTTTTTTTCTTGTAAACAGTCTCTTTCATGCATGTTGTAAGAATCTGAACGTGTTGGGACTCCATCCAAGCGGGGGAAGAAGCTCTCCGTGTAGTAGTTATGCAAGAAAAAGCCAAACCGGGAAGAAGATCTTTGGAATGTTCTTCATCACCAGATCATCATAATCAAGAAGATATATCCAAGGAGAGAGCAATAAGCAGACTAATCACAGACATGGGGGATAATTTTTTTGTTTACATACCGCCTCGTGTGAAGGTAAAGAGACGACGATATATTTAATATGTGAGGAGGAAAGTAGATTTATCGCAGCTCACGCTGATTAGCGTGGGTAGCTGAGATTGATAGTAGCAATATGCATAGAGATGGATGGGTTAAGCTTTGAGAGAAGAATAGCTTGGACTGAGAAAAGGATTAATCTGGTTTTGCATCGAACTCCACCTTCTATTACATGCAAGCACTGCGATGATGGTGAGAATGTTGCTGCAGAGGATGAAGATTTGGTTTTGTCACAGTCGAGAGAATCTATTTTCTTCTTCTGTTTGATTCATACCGAAATTAGTGTGAACAAAGCCAAAATTCTTAAAGTTGAGATCGTATCCAAATTATAACCGTAAAAAAGGAATAATTTGATTTGAAAATGGCCAAATGGTTGCAAAAGAAATGAAACACGAGTTGCTACTCTGCAACCAGGGAACGGTAGGTACGTACACAATAAAAATCAAGAAACAACAAATTCATGATTACACTGAAACTGTAGCAACACGAGTTGTTGTTGCCACTCTTTTGCCTCCAACTCCAACACCATTCTTCTTTAACGGATCAAACTCTTGCACACCAAATGGACTCCGATCACGTTCCTTGTTGCTCGATCTCCCACTCATTCGATCTGTCGATTCAGCTGAATTGGGCTCCCGCGATGAGTAACCCTTACGTTGCACCACACAGCTACTTCCCGTGATACTATTGCTTCCGGAAGACTCTTGTTCTTCCATGTCCTCCAACGAAGAACCACCTCTCTTAACGGTCACGTACTTCTCAAAGCTTGGCTCCATTAGATCCGCTTTCTTCACTGCTGCTGATGCGAAATTGTTGAGCTCGTTTCTTTGGTGTTTATTCGTAGTAGAGTTAAGGTCTGAAACTGCTTCAACGATGGAGCAGGCTTTGGACATAGATGAGGTTATGGCATTGACATTGACACTCTTCTGATGGAAGTTTTGAATGTCTTCTAAAAGCAAAGCTGCGTAAGATGCTGGTGGTGCATTGTTATTGTTGTCGATGTTGTTTGAGAGCAATGCTTCGGGACTGAAATCGAAATCACGTGACTTCCTCAATGATCTGCTCCTGCTCATAACTTGAGCCTTAGGGAGTTCAGTTCCTGACACCACTATCTTACACTCTTCCACTGCCTCCTTGGTGACACGGCTCGGGCTTGCGCTTCTACGGCTTGGAGGTTGAGTACCAGCTTTAGCATTCATCTTCTGAAACACAAACATTATAACAAACTTTCATCCCAACAAATACCAAAACACTTGAATGGAATCATTACTAAAGATAGCTATAGAATTCATACCTGACCGTCGAAATTCACAGATTCTTTAACCAATCCTTGACTTTCATTCTCTCTGTTCACCATCTTCTTGTTGCAACTGGCTTGAGGCTGAGGATACGCCAATGAGTTGGGATCAATCTCTCCCAGTGGGTTCCTCCTGTAGGGAGAATGTTCCGTTTTCCTCCTGAGCTTCGACGGGGAAGGCTGAGCGTTGCTACTTGCGTTAACCGCGGCTCTCGCGGGAGACTGAGCTCTAGGAGAAGCAGCTCTTGCGGGGGACTGTGACCTCGGAGAGGCCACGTTTCTCTTGACAGCAATCCGTTTAATAGACGGATCTTCCTTGTTGCTCTTCTCCATAACCAACGAAGAAGCTTTATCCGTTGCGGGAACCGATACGAACTTGGCAGGTCTATTGTTGCTCGAATTTACGGAACTGCCACTGCCGGCGCATGAATTAGGGTTAGGGTTTGTATCCGATCTTCTTCCAGGAGATCTGCTCACCCGTCTGCTACCACTTCCTCTCTCCCTACTCCCCGATCGATAGCTCTTGGAATCCTCCCTCTCTCTGCTCGGAGTCCGTCTCCTCCGTTCCCGAGGCGAATCTCCGCCACGTTGACGATGCCGATGAATCCGCCGCTCAGCTTCTTCTTCCTCTCCGTCCTCCGCGTCAGCTTCATCCGCGTCACCGTCGCGGCTGCTCCGCTCGTTCTTGTCGAAATCGAAGCTCCTCTTGGATCCAGAATATCTCCTGGTTTTCGCCGCCGCTGAGTTGCTACGGCTTAGTCTCCCGCATTGAATCAGTATAGCATCTACATCGGCTGGAGTCTGATTCGTACCGGTTGATTTCTCCTCCGAAGCAGTTGAATCATCCGGATCTGTCGTCGTCTTGGATCGCTCATGGCTCCTTCGATGTTTGATCACGAACACTTCTTTCCTTGGGTTGCCATTTTCTTGGATTTCTGCTTCATTCTTGGGTTTTGGTTCTTCTACTTCCAGCTTCTCATGTGCTTCAGTCTCTCGTCTCAGAGGTTTATCAATGGCAGATTTGTTGGGATCTGGGGATACCCCACTCGGGGAAGAAGATGATGGAGAAGTCTTCTTGCTGAGGCAGCAACCCATTTCTGCTGAAGAAATTCAAGCAGTGAGTGAGAAATTGAATTGATGAGAGAGAAGAAGACAGAAACGAAATTCAAAACTTCAAATTCTGAGGAGAAGAAACTTTTTTAAAATGCTTTTAGTGGCTACTTACTTTATTAATATCCTTATATGGCTACTTACTTTATAAGTATTACATATAGCTCCCCAAACACATAATCGTTCTTCTCGTGACCCGTGACTCTTGACAGCAACATTAAAAATCTCATGTTCTCAAAATATAAGAGCATGTACATCAATGCCTCTTGGGGTTCATCTTTAAAATATTTTATTATTATTTTTCTTTTTGTCAGATTTTTTAAAAAAAAAATAAAAAAAAAATTAATTTAACCAATCCCCTTCCGGCACGTGGTGAATTCCACTCTCTTGGGTTCATCGGGATGAACTTTTGGAAAGAGAAGTTCATCACTATTCATCTAGAAAACTGTGTGAACCCCCTTATAAACCTCTTATGAACCCTCAATGTACATGCTCTAATAAACCATTAATATTAAAGAATTAAACTGGGTATTTTAAAATTACTACATATATTGATATAAGTTTTAATTCTTGCCATAACTAAATATTTATATTATATATTCGTACGTCAATTTAAGTTAAACAAAATTAAATTTAAATTAAGTTATGTTGAAAACTCTTAGTTGAACATATTCTATCAAAAAAAAAACTCGTAGTTGAACATATGCTCTTATTGGACTATATACCCAATCTGTGGACTAGATTGAAATCTTTGGAAATCTTGGGGTGAATTTGAAAACTTTTTTTGGTCATAGAGAGGTGATATTTGAAATTTTCAACAGTCAGCAAAAAGAGAGCCGTTATACGTGTGAGAGCAAGAGACAGAGGAGTCGATGATAAGGGTATATTTCCACTTTGTCTTTTGAACTCTTTTGTCCAAAGGAAAATCATTTTATTAACAATCTTTATTTAATTATGTAAATTTAAAATTCTAACGGCTAAATGCATGTTATGTGTTCTTTTGTCCGATTATGGAAAAGAATCTTGGGAAGATTTCCATGGTAATTAAATATCAATGTTATTCAGTGGCAATTGTTCTACAAAAAGACAATATGTACTGAAGAAACAAACACATTTTTTTGTGTATTTTTATTTTTAAATAACAATGTCTGGTTATGATATAACCAAATAACTATGCTGGTTTGATATAAACCAAAAACATATGAGGCAGTGTGGGCACTTTGGTTTAATTTTGGTTTTGGTTTGGTTAATTTACATTTGATTAAACTCCAACTATTTAAGTCTCGTCGTATAAAATTTATTCTAGCTAAAAATACATTTCATTAAATTCAAACTATTCAACTTAGTTACAACTTGGGTTTTCAATCAAACCGAATCATTTAGGTTGAGTAAAACTTCAACAGATGGAATTATGTATAATGTATGAATTGGATTGAGTTAATGTAACTTTGGTTGTTCCGATTAGATTTTAATCTATTCTATACATGTTTCACCACTATAAGTGTAACTAGGTAGAGATCCACGCATTGCACGATGTGAAATAAAAATTATATCAACAAAAAAGCATAATTTCCTTAAATATAATCTCTAGATTTATACCGATATAATTTGTGTGTTTGAATTAAAATCCCATAAATCCCTTATATATTAATCCTGAAACATTCATAAATGCACAACCTTGGAGACCATGCTTACGTGTCAAGCTCACAGAGCTTCTGGCCTTAATTTTTTAATAGACCAACTTTGTTAGGAATGAAATAATGTAACATTTAATTTCTTGCATTTAGGACTATAATATATATACATTTTGTAAGAGATCAACTCTGCTAGGTATAAAACAATATATTTTATTTCCTTAAATAAAAGCTACGAAATTACCTAATATAATTATCATATATATGTAATTAATGATTATGAATAATACATATTTCTGTGTCCTCTCTCTTTTTTGTTTAATTTTAAATTATTAAAATAAATTAAACAATCACATTAAATATATAATAAAAATTAATTTTTTTTCTTATAGGTTATATTTTTAATTTTTAAAACGACCAGAAATAACTAAAAATAGTAAAATCCCTCATTGCAAATTTTATGATCAATGGTTTAACTTTGTTTTTCTTACAAACAAGATACAAATTATCATAAATCGTACGAATATGAAGTATCATTAGTAGATATTCATATTATAAATATGTTAATTTAAAAATTTCAGTGAAAAGGTTTGAGGTTAGTAGATACAACTTATAGTATTCAAAAGATTTTTGTAGTTTGTTTTCTTTGTTTTTTTAATATCTTTTAGTTTGTTTAGATAGTTTAACTAATTTTAAATTAGATTTATTAATAGTTTAAATATTTTGATTTTTTTGCCAACTTTTCATGTTTAAAAAATATTTTTTGGGATAATTTCAGATATTGGTTACAATCCAATCCAAACTGAATTGAAAAGATCAAATCGAATCCAATCCGATAATTAGTAAAATTCAAATAGGATTTATGAGAATAATACCAAAATCTAAAAATATGTCTCAGTCAAACCAAAACCGACGAAGTCTCAAACGTCCATACCTATGATAATTTAAGATGCCAACATTTGTATTCATCATTTTATAATCGATAAATACTGTAGTATTGCAAACTGTTAAAAACCATTTAATAAATAAATATTAGTATAAAAATTTCAATCTGAAAATATGTCTCAATCAAACCAAAACCGACGAATTCTCAAACGTCTCGACCTATGATAATTTAAGATACCAATATTTGTATTCATCATTTGTAATCGATAAATACTATAGTATTGCAAAATGTTAAAAACCATTTAATAAATAATAATTAGTATAAAAATTTCACCCCGCGCATTCGCGCGGGTTCTCATCTAGTTAACTTTTATTTGTTGTCTCTGAATGTTAGAAGGTCCATCGAATCTATTATTTATAATAAATGCGAACATATTGTAAATAATCAAATAAAAATGATGATATTTTAAATACGGATCAACACATGTATAAACAAATATTAAACACGTACCTAGAGAAATGAAAGAAAATGAAAAGAGCGTTCCAGCGAATACTTACTTGTACAATCGGGATGGTACTAACAAACGATCTCGGGTCAATTAACTCACTATTTTCTTGATGATCCTCGGTTAGCCGATTCTTGTTGAGTTGCGATTATTTATATTAGGTGTTGTGACTTTTATGAATGTTTACAATCTCTAACATTAACAATAAGTCGAAAATATGTTGAATAGATCTTATGGCCAGAAAGAGCAAAATAATAATTAATGATATGTGTCTATTTTTCCTTAATGCCTTAAGCATTTACAGGCTCTCTGTTTCTTTTTTACTGACTCAAAAATATTTTGACTACGTTGATTCTATGTGTTTTTTAAGTCGTAATCGAATGTCTACATAAGATACTCGTAGGTTAGACTAACTATGCAGAAAAATACATTAAATGAACTTGGCTTATCATCCTTTTTTTCTCAATGGATTGACATTTAATAAATTCTTCTTATCATGTAAATGTGTCTCACTGATAGAATACAAACAGATGTAGGATGGGAGTAAGATGAACAAATTAACAGTATTGTGATTGTATAAAACACTATAAATTCTTCTTCTACACCAGCCATTTTAAACTTAAACAAGATAAACATATATAAAGAGGCAGGAGTTTTTTATTTGGATCAATTGCAATATCATGAGTGACTTGGTATATATAGAAGAACCGACTGGTAGCACAATAAATTCAATAATTTTGGACATAAATATAGGTATATACGACATTAACTGAATAAAATATTATAAGAATACTTGCTCTGTAATCCATACACTTACGTATTTGATTATAAAACCCCAATAATATTCATATCATATTAAATAGAAAATATGTGATCAGAATAAATGTCATATAACTGACATAGTTTTGAAGTGGTGAGTAAGGATTCGTGTTAACCAAGTTCAAAGTACATAACTGATATATTTGTAACAAATCTCATACTATTGTTTACCAAAAAATATCTCATACTACATAGATTATTAGGAATAATCAAACTTTGAAAAACAATAAATATCTCATTTTATTGCTTGGCAATTTCCTTAGATGAAGCGTAGGTAGTTACTCCTTATTTTTGAATTTAAGCGTATAGAACTTAATATTTGTGTTAACATTAAATGTAGCATTATTTACTTACCGAAAAATTTCAATGGAAGCAAAACTAAAGAGAAAACGATTTATAAACTAAATATTAAAGGCTTTAATCATCATTTCTCTTGATTCGATCAAAGTTATCATCTTGAAAATGATCTTCTCAGTTTCATAGATGAATATAATTTGTGTTATTTTTGGGAAAAAAGTTAATATGATTTTTTTTATAATATCTCCGTGTATCAGCGCCAAGGGTAAAATCTAAAATGATTTGTATTGAATTGACAATATATACTATTTTTATCAGATTCGTCTTATTTTTTTTAAATGCATAGAACATAGAATATATCAATTTATTTGATAGAGCTTTGTTTCACATATATATACCTGAATGTTAAAGTAGCATATTAAGATATTTTAAACTTATTAATTTTCTAATGCGCAGCTAAAAGAAGGATTTATATATTGTATATAAATATATGTATTAATGTATGCAAAAGCTTTGCTTTACACTAAAAAAGAATTGTATGATAGTGTTTTGCTTTACACCATAACAAGTAACCCAGAATTGGTATAAGTAATTTGCTAAAAAAATTAATTTTTTATGTTTTTTTTCATAAGGCGAAACTCAACATACAATGAACTTCATATATGTAATTTATTGTATGAATTATATTAATTATAATATGGTATGATGTTTCTTCTTTGTAGCTCAACCTTTGATACGATGAAAGCTAAGAAATTTTCATTATTGTTTTATGTAGGCTAATTACGATGAAAGCTAAAAAGTTTTATAATGTTTTGCATGTACATAATGAAAAAAATGCTTATGATCATGTGTGAAAGACACTACCTTAAATGAGTTAAAACCATACATTTACAAAAAGATAAAGTAAACTATACAATTGATCAGATGATTTGATAAGGTAG